CGCTCGAGGTCGCCAGCGCCGAGCCACGCGACATGCCTGAGCTCTGGGCGCAACGTTGTTCCGAAGACCCCTCCCCGAACAAAGAACCGGAAAAGAGAACGAAAAGGACATCCGTTTGAATCATTTATCGCAACACAGCGAAACATATGAACACACTCTCCAGGCGAGAAGAGGAAACATAGGAAATATTGCCGCAGCAGTGGGGCTCCTTTTGCAATCCACCTCGCGACGAATCCGCTTGTAGTCCGCACCAAAGGAATCCCTGTTGTAATTTGTAACGATGTGGATCTTTTTGTATTCCGCCACAGAAGGGATAGTCTCGCAATCAGCTACAAAGGAATCCTTGCGTACGGATTTGAAAATGATTCTTTGCGTGGCGAAATCCAATTGGTTTCTTAGTGTCACATCATTTTTTCGTTTTTGTCCTTCTCCCTCCTGAAGAGCCTCTCCATGTGTCTTATGTTTCGATGTGTTTTCATTGTTTTCTTATATTTAAGTCGTTTCTGTCGCCTTACTCGGGCAGGAGGGCGCTTTCTCCCCCTAAGCGGTTGCAAACGGATTCCTTTGGTGGCGGATTACACTCTGATTCTTTTTTGTGCGGATTGCACAAGAATCCCTTTTGTGGCGGATTACAAAGTGATTCCTTATGTGGCGGATTCCCAAAAAAGATTTATTTTTGTGACGGATTGCAGAAGGTTTTTTTTTTTTTTTTTTTTTTTTTTTTTTTTTATATATATATATATATATATATAAAATGTGGCGAATGGGAACCGGATTCTTTGTTGTGGGAAGATATAGCAGCGATTCCTCTTGTGCGGATTATAAAGGGTTTTCTTTTGTGGCGAATTACAACAGGATGCCGATTGCCGCGACAGTTTGTTTTTCTTCTCCCCCGGAAGGCTTTTCAATGTTTCCTAAGTTGTCGCGGTGTTCCCAAGCGGCTGCTCATTATTTTTCATTTTCTCCCCCCTTCATTAGTTCGAGGAGGAGGGCGTCTTCTCTTCCGAGACGATTACGCAAGGTTCCCGAATGTAGAGCGGTGATCGACAGAGAACGAGGTAGAAGGAGAGCAGAGGGGAAAACGAGTAAAATACTGCGGGCTGCATGCTCACGGCCCCTCAGCTCAGCGAAAGTGGAACGACTCGCCCCACTCGTTCAGCCCAAGGCGTGAACACCACCCTCCTGATCGCGCGGCCGTTGGGTGAGTGGCCCGCGGTGCCCATCCTGAGGAGGATCTGCAGCACGGGGCGGCCGCGCCCAGAGCCCTCAACCTTGACCTCGACGCCGACGCGTAAGCCGCAGCAAGTCCTGACGGGAACCTGCCGGAAGACCAAAATAAACTCAGCAAGAAAGCCCCCACACGCACCCACCCCGAAACCAAGATCTAGTTTCCCCAATAGGGCGAGGTTGAATCTCCTGTCCATCCTCACGCTGCTGAGGCGGCGGCGACCGCGCAGCTGCATGGCCCGCGCTGCTGATGGCCCGCGCTGGCCCACGCAGCTGATGCTGTTCGCGCCGGCGTCACTGCTGGCGCGGGCGAGGGCGTAGGCGCTGACGCTGCACACGGTGCTGGCGGTGGCGCCGACGTAGACGCCAGTTTGGTGCTGACATCGGGGCTGGCGCGGACTCTGGCGTCGGAGCTCGCGTCGGTGCTGGTGTAGGCGCAGGCGTTGGAACCTGGCATACGCGTCGGCGTTGGTGCTGGCTTCGGTACTGACCTCGGTGCTGGCATTGACGCTGATGTACTGCGCTGGCGTTGGTGCTGGCGCAGTCGCTGACGTTGACGCTGGCGTCAGTGCTGGCGCAATTAGGCGCAACTTTTGGTGCTGGCGTCGATGCTGGCGTAGGCGCCAACTTTGGTGCTGGCGTCGATGCTGGCGTCGGTGCTGGCGTTGGCGTTGGTGTGCGTCGTTGGCGTTGGTACCATCGCAGTCGCTGACGTCGATGATGGCGTCGGTTCTGGCGTAGGCGCCTACTTTGATTCTGGCGTCGGTGCAAACAAGCATCGGTGCTGGCGAATGCGCTGCCAGTCGTGCCCGCGCATGCGCCAGCGTTCTCGCAGGTTTCACTGCTGGCAGCGGCGCTGGTGAAGGAGCTGGTGGTGGCGCTAGCGAATGTGACGGCTTTGATGCTGACGTCGACGCTGGCGTCGGTGCTGGCGTCGGTGCTAGCAGCCAGCGCAGATGCTGGCGTCGGAGCTGGCGCTGGCGTTGGCATTCGGGGATGGCGTTGTTGCTGGCGTCCATGCTGGTCTCGGTGACGTCGCGGGCGCCAGTTTAGTGCTGGCGTCGGTGCCGACGCAGCTGCTGGCGTCGGATCTGACGCTGTTGCTGGCACGGGAGGTGGCGTTGGTGCTGGCGCCGATGCTGGCGTCGGTGCAGGTATAGGCGCCGTCGTTGGTGCTGGCGGAGACGCCGGTTTTGGTGCCGTTGGCGGCGCTGGCGTGATCGCTGGTGAATTGCGCTAGCGCCGGCGCTGGCTCAGGCCGCCCAGGCAGGATGCAAGATGCAACGAACATGTCACGAATTCCGTTGCCCTGATGGCGTCGAAATCTGATGTTGGCGTCGGAACTGGCGCTGGTGCTGGTGCAGGCGATGGTGTTCATTGTTGCTAGCGCCGATCCCTGGCGCTGGTCCCCGGCGCTCATCGCCTTGGGGGCGTCAGGGGCGGTTGGCTCTCAGAGCTTCCCGTCCCCTGCACCTCCCAAGTCCGGCTCCACATTGTTCAACTCATTTGACTGGCCGTTTGTGTTTTCCCTCCTTCCTCCCTTCTTCCTCCTCTTGTCCCCCCTCTCCTTCTCGCCCCCGTTTCATCGATACGATTTGGGGTGAGTTCGTATCGTGTAGAGCTCTGGTGCCAAAGAAGGGGGCAAACCAGACACTTTTAGAAATTAGGTTTGCGTGTTGGCTCCGTTTGTGCAGTTGTTTTTTTTGTTTGTCCTCCTTCCCTGTTTCTCCTGGAACTTGTTGCCGTAATTTCGGCCACGTTCACAGGACAGCCTCCGTCCACTTCCTGTGCATGTGCGGTGCCGCTGCGCTTGACCTCGTTTCTTCATGTTGTTCGGCCATGTGACGTGGGCCATTGTGCCGCGGTGGTCGTGTTGTCGTTCTCCGTCCATGCACCGATCCCGTGACATGCATTTGCTTCGTTGCCCCAGTCCAGGATTCTTGTCTCGGGCCTGGCGAGTAGCTCGTAGTTGCGTGAACTCGGCAGCTGGCACCCAGTCTGGTGACTTCGTGTGGTGGACGTTGGTTGGTGCTTCGCTGGAGGGGGAAAAAACACAAGGATCCTTATTGTGCCGGATTACAAAAGGATTTCTTCTGTGCGGATTATAGGATTCTTTTTGTGGCGAATTACAGAAGAATTCCTTTGCAACGGATTCTTATCGTGGCGGATCACAGAATCCTTTTGTTCAGGATTACAATAAAGTTGCCTCTGTGGCGGGTCAGAGAAGGAATTCTTTTTGTCGTAGATGCCAAGAGAATTGTCTTCGTAGTGCTGGAAAGAAGTAGCGCTAGCGCTATAGCTCGTTGATCAGCACGATCCTCACAGACCCAGAAACATCACAATATTGCACACCACACAAAACAACGCAAGCACATACAGCCTAAAACACAACATGCCGCTATGCGCCTCACAAAACGCACCCCCCACAATCGCCCATACTCTTTTGCTGATCGTCGCTCACGTGACGCTGCTGGCCTGGGCGAGAGTTGGCGGGTTCCGGAAACCCTGAGACCCCATAAGGCTGCCATCCATTCCTTGGGAGGCAGATTTTTACCTCCTCCGGCTTCCGCCGACCTTCTGCCGTCGGAGCCGCCCCCGTTCTACTTCCGCCGGCTCCCGCCGCCCCTCCGCCGCCTTCCGCCAAGGAGCAGATGGCAACTCCTTCGATCCTCGACAGCAAGGCCCTGTCTGGAGGGCGCCAGCTGGGTACGCACGGGGCTGCGCGTCTCTCCGGCGCTCGGCCCTGCTGGCAAAGCGCGGGCTCGGGCCGCAACCTGACGAAGCGATTGCGCACAGCGGCCCACGCCCGACGCAGCAGAGACATACCATCACCAGGGGGTGAACGAGCCCGACATCTATTTGCGGCATCGGCAACGTCACTATTACCATTGTCACCTTCACCATACTCTTGCACTCTTCTTTCTTCTCATCATCCCTCTCTCTGCCCTCCATTCCTCCACCCCTCTTCCTCCTTCTCCGTTTCCTCACTCCCATTCCCCTCCTGATTCGCGTAGCAATGGGCGTGGCACCCTACATCCGCGCACGGTGCGCGAAATGTTTGGGTAATTGGTTGCCGTGGCTATCAAGACTACGACCCATCGCAAGCTGCGGCGGGCAACGCGTGCGCTCACATGGCCACCTTGGTAAAGTTGTGAGAGGGAGAGGGCATCCGCCGCGCAAACCGACAGCGGCGTTATGAAGGGGCGGGAGGTCGAGGGGGGGAAAAGAGGAAGGGGCGAGGAAACAAGGGGACAAGGGCTGCGGAGGGAGGGGGGACGCAGTGCGCAGGGAGGGGAGAAAAAACGATTGGGGTCCACGCGCTGATATCACATTTCGGAAGGACTTGCTGCGTTGTATGATTTCGTACTGCCGTGAGCGCGTCCTCGCGAAAGCCCCTGTCCCTACTAGCGCGTCCCCACGTAAGTGCGCCCCAGCGCTTACTACCCGCAAGCACTCGCGCATAGATTGGCGTGCACGCAAACGCACAGACACGCTCGTACAGACAACGGGCGATCCCGCACAAACCCACGGGGGATTCTGTAGAGTCTTGGAGATGCTGTCCGTTTGGTACCCAGTTGCTTTATTGATCTAGCATGGGCATCTTGTATGGGGACAATCGTGTGAGTCTGGGGCTTCTTCTCGAAACTTGTGATGGCCATTTTCAGACTTTGCGGTCAGGACGCCCATCATCAGTTGATTTTCAGGGTCGGTCATTTGGTTGATGTTGCATGCCGGTCTTTTTCTGCAAGTGCCTTTTTCCCCCCCGCCGCGAGGCGCGCGTTTCGACAGAGCCCAACGTATGGGCTATTGGAGCTTTGTCCGCGCCGCCGGGGGCGGTGTCAGAGCATGCGCAGAGTTATCACTCGAGCTTCGAAGTGGTGCGGCTACTGCAAGTTCCTCTGAATGTGCTCATCTGTGTGTTCACTATTGTTTCAAGCCGTTTTGTTTTGTCCTGGTGATCTAGCGCTTCTTCTCTTGGTTTCTGTTGCAGCTATTTCTGTCCAACTTGCCTACAACCGCAAAGCGTTCGTCGTGATTGGAGTGTATGGCTCATCTAATATTTACTCGTAGTCTCCTTGGTCAGAGTGGGGGAGCCGAACGGTCATTCAATGTCCCTGGGTGCGTGGTTGAAGTGAGAATCCGTGGTGAGGATTATGCTTGTTACGTTGTTGTTCTTGTTGTTGTTATTGTTGTTTGTTGTCGTCGTCCCCCCCGCGACCCACCCGCGACCCACCCCGCGACCCACCCCGCGACCCACCCCGCGACCCACCCGCGAACCAACCCGCGACCCACCCGCGACACACCCCGCGACCCATCCGTGACCCACCCGCGACACACCCGCGACCCACCTCGCGACACACCCCGCGACCCATCCGCGAACCAACCCGCGACCCACACGCCACCCACCCCACGACACACCCCGCGACCCACCCGCGACCCACCCGCGACCCATCCCGCGACCCACCCCGCGACCCACCCCGCGACCCATCCGCGACCCACCCACCCGCGACCCACCCGCGACCCACTTGCGACCCACCCGCGACCCACCCCGCGACCCACCCGCGATCCACCCGCGACCGATCCACATTGGTTTGAAGAAAAAATCGGCGCCTGCGGCAGGCTGTGTATAATTTGTGAAACTTTGGCGCCGCGGCGGGCTTCTCCAGAGTCTCGCAGACTGCCGACGTCGCCACCGCCCCTTCACTCTTATCCGGATCTGCGGGCCGCTACGTACCCTTACTTTGCATTCTCCCTCCCTGTGCTCCATCACGAATCCTAGTTGCAGCTTACTGCGATCCCCAACTTCACTTGCGCAATTCAGGATTTCATTTGCCCTCTTAATATTTCTGCCCTCGCAGCTCTCATGCATCATGCATTGCGTATTCCCCTCCCTCAGTGCCGCGCTGTCTGTCCCCATCCCCCACTGCCTGCCCTTCTCACTGCATGTCGTTGCCCTGAGGTCCTTCATGAGCCAAAACGCGGCCCTGTCACAGATCAGATGCGAAATTCCGAAGGAGCAGGCCTTCTCAGAAGGCGGCAAGGCTTCTCAGAAACCCTGGCGCCTTGTGAGATTGCTTGTGTGTGTTTCGGGGAAGGCTTATTCAACTTCCAGCCCTCTGAGAAGGCCCGCCCCCTCTCGTTTCCCCCCCGGGCGCGCCGCCGAACAGAGGAGGCGCTCATCGAGGATCGTTCCAGGGAGTCTGGGGGGCCTTAGCGCATTCGTTGTCCCGCGAGGGTTCCTTTAGACGGCCAGCAGAGCATGGGGTGTGCTCCGCCGCTTCCAGGCCGCGACAACCTCCGATCCCTAATCCAACACCTCTCCAGGACCCGTTTCGACCGTCGATTCGAATCGATTCGATTTCGAGGGTTCCCATTTCGATTCGATTCGACTCTGAATGCCGACTTCGGTTTGGGTTTCCTTGTGCAGGCTCGGCTCGGGCCGCTGGGCGTCGCTTTCAATGCCTTCCGATCTGCCTGCCGATTTCTGCAGATTCAGCGAATTTCGATTGCCGGTTCTCTTTTCCGATTCGATATTGGGCCATCCAGCCCCTCAGCCCGAATACCGGTGCGCCAGATACCCAGACGTCCTGGATGGTACCAGCGTCCCGCATGGCCCGAAAGCGACCCCCGATCTGGCCCTCCGGTGCCAGATCATGAGGCCTCTCGAGCATGCGAGGGCCGTCCGCGCAGCTGCCGTGCCCCCCCCCCCCCTTGGCCCAGACGGCAAAGCTTACGTGCCAGCCTGGAACGTAGCCATGCCCCAATGCTTTGCACCACCTTTTCTCGGTGCCGATTTCCCCAGGTGTGAGCAGGTAGTGTGCGTGTGTGTGTTTGCTGTGCTTGGCCATGATGGTTCAGGTTTCTCCCGTGCTCTTCAGGAGATCCTGTTTTGTTTCGCGAGGTGCCCAGCGATAAACACATCGCCCTCGTTCCATCGATGCCAGCCGAAGACGATCCGCCAGTCGTTTACATTGTTAGCGGAGCTCGATGACGGAAGCGGGCAGAAAGGAGGCGGGGGCGAGTGCAGCTCAGGACGACGAGGATTCGACAGGCTCAGATGAGGCACCAGCTGAGCCGCATGCAGCGCCACAGAAGCAGACTCCAGGATTGGAGAAAGTGGTGGCGGGACCGATGCGACGCATGGTGTGCGTGGGCTCCCCAGGACCGGTGCCAAGATAGAAAAGCTGGCAGAAGCAACACGCGAACAGAGACTATTCAGCTCACCCGACCTGGCTTGGACTGGAACGCCTCGATCATCGACGCGAGTGATGTCCGCTCGTTGGCCACGAGGGCGATTCGTAGCAAAACTGAGAGTAGGTCTTCCTAGTTTCCCGAGGGACACCCCGTATACTGTCTGGCGATGTTCACCTGAGAAAGGGCCGAGTTCGACGAAAAACAATGAGTCGAAGCTCTTTTCTCGCATCTGGCAGCAGCGGAGAGAGGCAGGGCGAAAAGGAGAGAGAGAGAGAGAGAGAGAGAGGCTCAGAACGCGGCGCTGCTCGACGTGACCATAGACAGAGCCGAGTCTCTCATCGATCTCGTGCTGAGGAGGGACCAGCAGCTCTCGGAGGCTGCGACCACGGGCCTGGTACTTCCAGACGCAGTGGTGAATAGCTTGTACGAGAAGGATGCCTCTCCGTCGGTCAAGAGCCGCAGCATGATGAAGACGCTGGCGCAGAGCAAGGAGACGGCCGAGGCCATTCGACATGGGTTGTTCATGCGCGACGTCAAAGAAAACGTTGTACTGCCGCGCCTCCCGACCCCCTCGTCCTCTGAGAGGACGCTGGCAGAGATGCCACCGCTTCTTGTCAACGTGGCCAGGATGGCATGAGCATGATGACGACGCAGGCGAGGATCAGCTAGACGCGTTCGAAGTACACTTCGCAGAATGGGAAGCCACGACAGTCCCGGCGGGTGTCGTAGCTCAGGGCCTGTCAGAGGAAGAATTCATGTAGGCGTGCGCGGAGGTGGCCGAAACGAAGATGCGGAGGGCGCGGCAATAATTCAACCAGTTGAAGGCGGACGGGAAGGTGGAACGCGATCTCTTCAGCCGCCAGCGTGCAGATCAGGGGCGAAAGCCAGCGATTGGCGGCGATTCGAGGAGGCGTTCGAGGTGCAGCAACCTCGGAGAGAAGGGCCGCCGGCGGGGGGACGTCAGACGCTGGTTCCGCTCGTTTGCCGATCGCGCCAAGATGCTGCGGGCAAGGTACAGGATGATACCATTGTGTTTCATCTCGCTGGATGACTCCAAGGGATGATGGCCTGTTCTTTCATGCCGCTTGGTAAAGGTAGTTGAGGTCATCGCCGGCGCCGGCAAGTGCGAACATGTCGCCGGGATCGCGTTGCGCGACCTCGGGCGCCGGGCTCTCGTGGACGCGTCGGCGGGCCAAGCGCTTGTCTGGGGGTCCAGACCTGGAGAGGATAATAGAGTCGTTCGAGGCCAGGGGCTACATCGCTCACGCGAGGGAGGCGATCGGAGACGAGGGCGCTCCGACGGCGAATGGCGTTGGAGAACGCTTCAAACGGGTTGTTCCCGCGCTCGTGCCGGCGATCCTCCGCGGTTGCGGCGTCGTGGACTTCGCGGTGCTGCCGCGCGCGTGTTCGCCCTACTTCCGGCTGAGTTGCTACGTTGCATCGACGGGGTCATCGATCTCGTTCGGAATATGATGCAGGTGCGCGCGCAGGGGAAGCGGGTTCCCATGGCGCGCGCGCCCCCTGTCCGCCCATCGATTTGTTCCGATGATCGATCTGGGGCCGCCGCGAGTAGGGCCCCGCGCCTGAGCTGGCCAGGAAGTTCGCCAATTTCGCGATGTTCAAAAGCGAGCTCGCGGGGGCGATCGGCGCGTCTTCCGAGTGCTGGGGGGGGGGGGGGGGCGCCGTGGTGGATGCCAGCGGTAGTATTCCCCCCCCCCTCTCGCAGAGTCTCTTCAGAACGCAGCGCGGCTAGAGTCAGAGGTTTCGAGAAGGCCCAGTCGACGCGTTTCTCCTTCCGCGGCCACTTTGGGCTCGCGGGCGACCTGGCCACCCAAAGAGCTCTTGGATCGATTGGTCTGAGATCTCGACGACCACGATGTCCGCGGCGCCCGAGAAGACGGCGCCCGCTGCCATGACATCGCTGTCGCTCGTGGTCTCCGGGCGCCAGGCAGGGGCGCGGGGTCCGAATCGAGCGGCCGGCGGGGAACTGCGCGCACTGCGGGCGCGCAGCACGCGCCAGCGCCACTTCAAGTTCGCGCCCTCGGAGAGGGGCCAGATCAAGCTCATGCGCGAGCACGACGCGCAGGTGAAGGCCGCGAAGGAGATCGCCAATCTCGAGAACCACATGGAGACGGAGCAGGCCAAGACCGAGCAAACTACGGAGATGCCAGAGCCCCCCGCGGACGTGCAGCCGCGGCCGAGGGCGAACCGCGGCGGGTCGAGCACCGGCGCCGCGGGCTGCGAGGCGAGCCCCCCGCGCGTGGCCGACGGGCCGGGCGCGAGGTTTAAGGCGCCCCAGCAGCTCCCTCTAGACGCCCTTCGGCGGTGGCCAATGCGGCCCCTTCCGCGCCGACGGCGCGCCGGTCTGCGCCGGCCAAGACCCCGCCAGGGATCTCGCCGGGCGAGTGGGCGGCACGTCAGTTCAAGGACACGCGCGGCGAACCACCCGGGACCAGGTGAACGCGAATATCGACATGCAGGCGAAGATGAGCGAGGATCGCAGCGGGATGGCGAGGCCGAAAGCGACCCCCGCTCTGGCGCTCCGGCGCCAGATCCTGAGGTCCCTTGGTCGCGCGAGGGCCATCCGCGCAACTGCCGTGGCCCCCCTCGCCCAGACGGCAT